CATTGACCTTAAATCGTGATCATTGACTCATGATTATGTACTATATAGTGCTGCTCCAGTATCAACTGGTCCCGCAAGTACTGAATAAATAATTGATCTTGAGCTTTGACAGCTATAACTGAGAGTATCTAACTGGTAAGATACCTGACTTAACTGACTCTAAAGGTTGTCATTTCCTGAAACTATATTGCTCCAGTTCCAGCTTCAAGCCTCCATGGTATACCCGGCTAAGCGGCTCTTATTTCAAGCCTCCATGGTAACCCGAAATATTGACTCTTATACACTGGAAACCGTTATTTCTGATAATAGTTTAAGAAATATAACAACCTTCAGCATGAAAATTTAGCCCCGAACTTGATTTACTGATCTGACTTAGGAAATCTGAGTCTATTCCCTGACCTTGGTCAAGGAATTTCTTGCTGGAATGTGCCAACTGAATGGCTGAATGGCAGAATGGCAATTTCTGATAGAAAATATTTGAGAAACATGTCTGATAAGATTTGTACTACTTAATGGCTCACAAATCTCTTGACAAGTCGCTAAAATCAACACGCGAAACTAGAGTCGAAATATCATATAACTGGGATAATCGACTATATTCTGAGAAAACTTTATCATTGACTCGAGCATCTTACTGGTTTCTAGGGTCATATGTCTGGTACCCTCTACTGAGCATAGACTTAAGAATTCGTTTAGATATATATAAACTGTAACTCAGCACTTACCTGGTAGTCGGCGAGGCGTGAGCGTGGTGTGGTCGGATTTTCTGAAAACTTTCTAACTCACTGAAGTATTCAGATATACAAAAACGTGCTCTGATACCATTTGTAACATCCCGCTTTTCCATAAATATAAGAGTGCGTTTTTCGCAAATTCCTTTCTAAAAATACGTATTAGTTTGCGAAATCATGACTCGGGATGCTACTGAAAAACATTCCTTATCTAAAAATCCGTTATCTTTTCTAGATTAAAATTATTAAGAAATACGGATTATCGTTTATCAAACAGGCATGTAATACTGTATAAAATTCGACTGGATACTCGGATAAAAAGCTGAAAACTAACATGCGAGTTTGAAAACCTGAAACTGTCAGCGAAAGTAAAATTGTGGCAAAATAAATATATACATATCATAAGTCTGTAAAAGCATATGCACTGGACCAACGACCACCTGCTCCGCTCACTCCTCGGGACCGACCCTGTTACCTGAAAAAGATAATATAGTGGGAGCGTGAGCACTAAAGCCACTGTGCTCCGCAGAAACTCATATTAAAGTAAAAATTAATAATAATATCAATATCATGACTGCAGGTATATATAAGTAACTGTAATCTCCAGACACAAGGTCTGTAACTAAACTGAACTGTCTCAGACACTATGTCCGCCATGTGCACACTCTGATGGATACTTAAGGCCTTGCGCCTTCATCAGAACTTTGGATGGGCAACTAAGGCTACTGCGCATCTCCCCCAAAAAACCAAACTCTGCCTTACGTAAAGTTGAATATTACTGAACATGATGGCTCTTACCTGACCTTATTAACATGAAGAGATGATGAAAAAGCTGTTACCTCTTCAAGTGCTCGGTTCAAATCACAAGAACGGACGAGGTCTCCTCAGCTCCGTGTGTGTGGTAAGGCGCGGTGTGTGCCTCTGTCAAGATCTCCTTCTGCAAGGCCTCGACCTTCGGCACAACTATCCTGCCTCGAAACTCTAAGGCGCCATCTGCGCCTCGAGAAAAACCCTCGACTCCTCCGGCGGAAACCTTGGCCTCAATAGCACGTATAAACTGATCATGAGTCTGTTCCTGCCGAATTCTATCTCTCAATGTAGGTTGAATTTGCATCGAGCTAACACTCCCTGTAATCACTGCAAGAAGCGACTCGACGACTTGAATCTGCATCCGAGCAAAGTCTTGAATAAGATAACGCTGTCGAGTAATAGAACAAGATAATTCGCCTTTTACCTTTTGGCGCAAGGCAACAGCTACAACATTTGCTTTCCCTGGATGATACTAAATCGTGCAGTCATAATCTTTAACAAGCTCCAACCAACGTCTTTGACGCATGTTGAGCTCCTTTTGCGTGAAAATATACTGCAGACTCTTGTGATTGGTGTAGATCTCACATCGACCACCGTAAAGATAATGCCGCCATATCTTAAGTGCATGTACCACTGCAGCTAACTCCATGTCGTGGGTAGGATAATTCTGCTCATGGGGCTTCAACTGACGTGAAGCATATGCTATAACCTCACCGTCCTGCATAAGTACACACCCCAAACCTCGCTTCGAAGCATCACTATAGATGGTGAAACTCCGAGAAGGATCGGGAATAGTCAGCACTGGTTCCGTCGTAAGTCTCCTTTTTAGCTCCTGAAAACTCGACTCACAACGATCTGTCCATTCAAATGTCATAGACTTCCTCATCAACTGGGACAAAGGGAGGGCAATCTTCGAGAACCCCTTAATAAATCTGCGATAATAACCTGCAAGGCCGAGGAAACTACGAACCTCGGACGAATTCTTTGGTGCTGACCAGTTCTGCACTGCAGCAATTTTGGAAGGATCTACTTCAATACCTGCTTGAGTGATAATGTGGCCAAGAATAGCCACTCGCTGAAGCCAAAATTCGCACTTGGAGAACTTTGCGTACAACTTCTCTCGTCTAAGATTCGTAAGAACGGCCCTCAGATGCTTCTCATGCTCTTTCTGGCTCTTGGATTAGATAAAAATATCATCAATGAATACAATAACAAACTGGTCAAGAAAAGGATGGAATACACGGTTCATTAAGTCCATGAATACTGCCGGGGCATTACTGAGGCCAAACGGCATAACCACAAACTCGAAATGATCGTATCTCGTACGAAACGCTGTTTTAGGTATGTCCGACTCCTTGATTTTCAGCTGATGGTAGCCTGAACGCAAATCAATCTTAGAAAACACGCAGGCACCCCTCAACTGGTCAAATAAATCATCGATCCTGGGAAGTGGATATTTATTCTTGATCGTCAACCGGTTGAGATCCCGGTAGTCGATACACATACGCATAGATCCGTCCTTCTTCTTAACAAAGAGAACGGGTGCTCCCCGACGTGAAACGCTCGGTCGAATAAAACCGAAATTCAACAACTCTTGGATTTGGGTCTTTAACTCCTGCAATTCTTTAGGTGCCATTCTGTATGGCGCCTTAGAAATGGGTCCGGCTCCAGGGATAAGATCGATAGAAAATTCCACCTGTCGGCTAGGTGGACCTCCGGGAAGCTGATCTGGGAACACGTCCACAAACTCACGAACAATGGGAATGTCATGAGGTGACCGTGCTTTTGGCTCATCTCCAACGAGGCTCACAAGGTAACCCTGGCAATCACCCCATCGAAGAATCTTCCTGGCTTTCGTCATAGAAATAATATGGGGCAGAGTACGAGTCCTGGAGCCGAAATAAGTGATCTGATCATCTCCCGGAAGATAAAGAGTAATCTCCCGGTCATGACATCAGATATCTGCGTGAAAAGGTGTTAGCCAATCCATACCGAGTATGAGGTCAAAGTCCCTCATCCCGATAACATAAGCATCAGAAGTTAAAATACGGTCGCCGATGGAAAGGTTGAGATCAGTGGCTCTGGCATCAGTCACTATCTTTTGTCCCGAGGCTAAACTCACCTCGAGAGGATCGACAGTGGTAAGAGAATGAACCCCTATAACTTCGAGACATCGGTGTGATATAAAAGAGTGGGTTGCTCCGGTGTCAAATAAGGCATAAACAGGCACATCATTAAGAATAATCATCCCAGGCATGGTACCTGGGTGCTGATCGGCCTCTCTCTGATCAACTGCAAAGACGCGGGCTTGCTGTCTGCCGCGTTGCTGTTGCTGGGGTCGTGGTGGCTGTTGTCGAGGTTGCTGCTGTTGTTGAGGTTGCTGAGGTGGTTGTCGTTGTTTTTGCAGTCGTTCGGGGTAGTTGGGGCTGATATGGCTTGGCTGGCGACAAAAGAAATAGATGTTCTGGCCTACAAGGCATTCTCTACGGTGGCGCTTTCCACATGTCGGGCAGTTTGGTGTCTGTTTGGGGCGATTCCTCCGATCATCTGGGCCTCCTCGGAACTTCCTATTCTTCTGGTTCTTTGATGATTGGGCAACGTTGGGCTGAGTAACTGGTTGGGCTAAAGTCGGATTAACTTCTCGTCGGATACTGACATCTATCTCCTGGGCAATGGCGACTGTGCGGGCGTAGGTCTAGACACCGTGACCTACGATGTTGTGGCGGACTGCTGGGAGAAGTCCGTCGGTAAAACGAAGAGCTCTCTTCTCCTCTGTACTCACAAGATCGGGTACAAAGGATCCGAGTCGAGTAAACTCTTTTTCGTACTCGTTGACAGAACGAGTACCCTGTCTGAGTGCTAGGAACTGGCGCTCCATATCTGCTCGGTAGTACGAAGGATAGTACTTCCCGCGGATCAACTCCTTGAATTGGTCCCATGTACAGCCTTCTTTCTTGCCGGGACGCATACTCCAATGGGCATTCCACCAGAGTCGGGCATCACCGGTCAACTGGATTTGTGCACATATGACCCGATAATGGTCAGGACAGTCCATGACCTCGAAGATCATTTCAAGGCCCTGGACCCATTCGTCGACTATACGAGGATCTCCTAGGCTTGGAAAACTTTTCTGGATGGTAGTCGCGGAAGTGTGCGACTACTGTGGCCTGAGGGAGCCCCTGTTGACCTGGTTCTCTAGGAGGCGGCATCTGAGTATTGAAAATATCAACATAATTAGACACAAACATGATAAACTTCTTATTAATGAGAACAGATCTCTTGATCAGTTGCTAATATTAACCCGAGAAAACTAAA